TGCATGCCGACACTGATTACGGATGAATCATCTTGACTTGTTACTTTACACTATTAATAATCTTATGTCACCAGTAATAACGAAATTAACGACTTTAATATACTATTCATTATACAATTCTATTACTTTTGAATTTACGCAAACAAACAACGAACGACTTTAATGATAATAGTTTTTAGTTTTATTAACTTTATTTAAGTAAACCGTACGAAACAAATCCTAGTCTTTCTTAAGATTATAGAAATTGATGTGGTCTAGAAATGGACTCATCTCATGTGCTTAAACAATTAATTTCATGTTATTCACATTCATGTTGACCAAAATTTTTCAAAAAGATAATAATCTTAGTCTACAATTAGTTATTGCTCCTAACCTTTTGTTTTATGTTGATATATATATATATAGCTAATTGGAAAGAGAGTCCAAATGTGGGTTAACAACATTTTCAAAAAGAAAATCCCCTAATTAAGAATAAACGTTTTTGAAAGTTTTTTAATTTTTTTTTTTTTGTTTTCAAATAATTTGGTAAAATCAACTGTTTTAGTACTGTGTACTCAATACCCATTAACAAACTTTAAATTATAAACAATTTTATAATGATAAATAATGGATTTAAACCTTATTTTATACCTAATTTTGGTGAAAGTCTTGAGGTGTCCCCACACTTGAAGGTACGCACGAGACTAATCTTCAATCAGGGCTTGGGTAAATGTCCCTGACTACGAACTGTTTCCAGTGAGATTCGAATCTCTGATATTGCAGATAAAATTCACATACTAGAAGCCCAGTTACCAATTTGACCAGAACTCATGGTTAGCTAGCTTAAATCTTGATATTCTTGAGATTTCTCAAACTATTTGTAGTTGATATGAAAACGATATGTTGAAATTTAATTATTATTATTTTTATTTTTTTGCGATAAATTATCCATAGAATATGAAGAGTTCAAACAAGCTCGATGTCATCCCCGCAATAAATATACAAAATTTTTAGTATTGCCAAATCACTTTTTGTCGAGTCTTCAATTTTATGGTATGGTATGGTATGGTATTCCTCCATACTTAAATTCTAAATAACAAGACAATAAAATGGGTCCTACTAAATTATTCAAATACAACTATTTTGATGGATTAAGATAATATCAAGCCGTATCTGATTATTTTATGACAATATAATCTTCTAAGTAAAGTAATAGGTCATCAAAAGTAATATTTTCTTCTAACGGTTTGTCGGTAATACTATTCGATACACGAATAATCTTAGGTCGATGATACGATTATCCAATTATTTTCTAATATTGTGACCTACTAGGTCAAGTTGTAGCTTGTAGCGAACGTAACGGTTTCTTCTAGTTGTTTCCAAGTAATATTACCCACTCAATATCTAATCAATGGTTGATTATGAAAATATATATATAAAGATGTAAAATGAAGAAGAATTGATGTAAAAGTGAAGAGGGTGTGGAAGTAATTGTCATAACGTGACCTTTGTCCCTAAGATTTAGCTAGTCTTAGGTGGTGTGGTGCTATGTCCTTGTATAAACACCTGATAATGCAGACTGCCGGGGCCTCCACAACTCACTACTTACTGTTAATTGGGACCCAAATCAACAATCACTTCACAACAAGCTATGCTTAAATTCAATGGGGGTATTGTTTTTCTTATCGACCCGATGTTATTATCAAAGTTAAACGATATTATAACTACGACTAATCAAGGGCGGAGTTACATTCAGGCCTGACATGGCTACGACAATCGATCCCACAAAAATTTGTATCTTTTTGTGGATTCTAAAAGATTGTAGGGTTTGACAGAGGTCGGATTTTGAAAACTTTTGAGAGGGTAAAAAAAGGATTTCAGAATTGTGGGATTGAAATTTGAGATGGTCAAGCAAGAAAGCAGAAAAATGTGTAGATTTTTTTACTGTGGAAAACAGTAAAAGGTAATGGAAAAATATAGAGTCAAAGTTAAAAGCTGAAGAAGGCAAAAGCACTTGCACATCAAACACCCCATCAGATAATCTAAGCTCTTGAGAAATTTAAAATTAATTAGATTAAAAATATATATAAAAATAATAATTTGTTTTTGTGAGTTTCAATGCAACGGTTGTGATTTTGTTTGACACAAAAATCGATGATTAAACTCAGCTACTGCATGATTGGATTGCTGAGGTCATTCCCATAATTTCTGATTATCAAATATTTTCATTGGTTTAATCAATCTTTAATCACTTCACTTCCACAGTTCCACTGCCTCTTCCTGCTATCTCTTTAATTAATTTTTTTTTTAATTAATTCTCACCAAAGTCAGCGCCCACCTCAACTGTTCTCCTGCTTTTATCTTCTTTATTAATATTATTTTTTTTTTTAAATTTTTTTATGGACTGTCATGATCCAATCCTTTAAATAGTAGTATGTTAATATGAAAAAGTTTAATCTTGTTTTAAAATAAAATTCAATATTTTTATCAATAGTTTCTCAAAATATATTTTGAAATAATTTTTTTCTTTTTTAATATTTATGAAATAATTCTAAAAACATTATTTTTGAAAAATTTCCCACTCAAATTTTTGTATATGTTTATTATACAGTAAATCTCTAAAGCATAGATTTACGTTGTCATTCTTTTAGGTTGATTTTATTTACAAGTTTATCATTATAACAATTTATAAACTTGTTTTTTAATATTTATGGATTTGATTTTTATTAATATTTTATAAGTCGTATTTGTGTGCAGAGAAAACACAGAAAATAGTACAAAATAGTGGACGTAAGATTTACACTTAGCATCCAAACCACTTTACAAATCATTTCCTCGTGTTATTGTTTGATTTTCAATTTATTATTTGTATTCAGCGTGTTATTGTTTGATTTCCAATTCATTATTTGTATTCAGCATCCAAATCATGGGTTTTAAACAAACTTCTGCATAGATTCTATCACGGATTCTGCGTATTTCTCGTTGGTGTAAATAACAGCATTAACACTCTTAATTTTTATTACCAAAATAAAAATTTCAAGAGATATGAATTTTTTATTTAAAATTTACTTGTTTTAATAAGTAAAATAAAAATTAGAAAGAGAAGTAACATAATAATATAATAGAACTGATGTAGGTTAGTAAATCCTTGGCTTTCTTTTAAATTCATTCACTGTGTCATAAAGCTGAGATAAAGCCCAGTGCGTGGCAACAAACAAATGTAAAGTGTAAAAGAGGTGAGTCGCCACGTGGAAAAAGATTAACACGTGTCACTGAATAAAGAATGTCTTTAGCCTGATAATCACGGTTATTATGATGATTATCATTACCGAAATCTCGTTTTTCATGCACTAAATTCCAAATCTGGGAAGAGAGATCGGACCCGGAATTCCGGTTCAGTTATGAAACGTTGGGTTTTGTCGGGTTCTTAAGCAGAAAGAAAACGGCATGTCGTTTTGGATTTGGTTTTGAGTTTTGGAACAAAAAGGTTACGGTGGGTCGGGTTCCAGACAAGCCCGTTCAACGTCCGAAAATTCTCCCAAGCCGACAAAGATACCTTTAATTTTAGGGATGTAGTGACCTAAACACCCTGGATTTGATTGATGGACTCCATGCACTTTAAATTACTCTTTTGCCCACAACCCATTTGGTTAATTACTCAATACACAATATCACATATTTTTATAGGGGAAAGTAGAATTTTTTTTTGGGAGGACTGAAAAATTAAATATATATTCAATATTTGATAAGAGGAAATGTATTAACACGGAAAAGATAAACTAAAAAATTATATAAAATTAATTAAAAAATTAAAAAAATTATTATAAAGAGATATTTGTGTATATAATTAGAATAATAATAGGTAATAAATTTTGAATTTTACGATCAATTAAAAAATTTTGAATTTTTTTTCTTTTCTGAAAAGTCTGTGAGGACGAAAGCTCGAGGGAGCACCCCATAGCTCCCGCCCTTGATTATGATGTAAGAGAAAAACTACGACACTCATTCGATAATATGATAATAAGGATGTATTCTTATGAACCAAATGCCAAAAAAAAATTAAGTTCATCAATTAGGAAGAATATTTGATAAAAATACTAGTTGATTCTTGTTCGATTAATAGTCTTTTATTTCTTTTTGTTAGGTATGCCGATATTTTCTTTCTTTTTATTTTATAATAATTACTTTGTAAAAAACTATGTTGAAGAAGAATGAAATAAACCATCCGTGGGTATCCCAGATGGTTAAGACAAATTGAAACCATTTGAGCATAAGCGATTTAAGTTGGAGGCTGTGATGGTAGGTCGCTGGTCTCCCTTGAGAATTAATTGAGGTGCATCCGGACACACAAACATATATAAATCTAAATATTGATGGATGAGGTTATTAAAAAATGAGTACTATTTGATACATTCATGTGTAATCTCCATATAAAATATTGTGTTCATTAATATTCTTTTATGGATCCCAAGTCAATATAGAAAGATGTAAAGTATACCTCAATATTATTTTTTTAACCATAAATTTTCTTAGATTTCAAGTTTTTTTTTTTTTTTCATTTAAAAAATCATAAAAGAAGCAAGAAGAGATAAATAAATAAAATAGGAGAACCTCACCTTATGATTTATGAAAGGGTAATTTAGTCATAAGAAAAAGATTGGGTGGGCAGAATCGAAAAATGAATAAGGTTTTAGTATTAAAGCGGTCCACCTTCTTACACCAGCAACTCGACAAATTAAGATGGGTTACAGATAATTTCTCAGAAATTTTGCAGACTATTCTCATTTCTCACCACTCATATTTTTCTTGAGTCAACTCGCTCGCTCCAAATTTAAAAAAAAAAAAAGAGAATTTAATTAATTTAATTTCCATCAAAGTTGAAAATAGTAAAAGTGTTATTACATAAACAGTACTGGTCACTAGGTGGGTATATTTATTACACAATATCTAACCCCAGTTGGCGGTTAAAAATTAACCATGGATTAGAACCAGGGTTAAAAACTCAAAACCAACAAGTGGTTAAGAAGCACCACCACAAAACTCAAAGATTTTTCTATTATCAACAGTCATCACTGCTCATCATCATCATCTTCTTCTTCATCATCTTCTTGCTCTCCTTTCAGGGCTTTCAAAAACACCCATAATAAAGTTTCAATCTTTCACCCCCACTTAACCCTAACTTGACCTCTTCTTCAAACTACTTTTTTCAAAACCACTTTTTTTTTTCTTTTTAATTTTTCCCTTTTAAGTTTTGATATTGTTAATTAATGTTTGAGCCATGGACTTAACCCCAGCTTCGAAGTCTCCTGAAACTGAGAGTACTGAAACAGCGGCCACGAAGATCCTTCCGGCGAAGCATTTAGCTTTCACCAACGGGGTGTTGAAGCGCCACCAGGTTCATCACCACCAACACCACGGCGGCGGCCACCCCCACAGCCACCATCATCATCCTATTGTTATTACTTACAAAGAATGTCTGAAAAATCATGCAGCCAGCTTGGGTGGACATGCTCTAGACGGGTGTGGAGAGTTCATGCCTTCTCCTACAGCCACGTCGACGGATCCCACTTCCCTTAAATGTGCCGCATGTGGCTGCCACCGTAACTTCCACCGCCGGGATCCAGACGACCCGTCGTTTGCTCCCACCACACCCCACGCTACAGCTAATCCTAATACAATTACAACTGCCACAATTGAGTACCAGCCCCACCACCGTCACCACCCTCCGCCTCCACCATCGTCCCAAGCTCAACCTCCGCCGCACAGAAGCCCCAGTTCTTCCTCTCCTCCGCCGATCTCGTCGTCGTACTACCCGTCAGCCCCCCACATGCTGCTTGCTTTATCCGGGAACTTGAGCGGGCACGAAAATGTGATGAATAATGTCGGAAATGTCCGGGCGAGCTCGAGGAAGAGGTTTAGAACGAAGTTCAGTCAGAAACAGAAGGAGAAAATGCTTGAGTTTGCAGAGAGAGTGGGGTGGAAGATGCAAAAGAGAGACGATGAAATGGTGCAGGAGTTTTGTAATGAAGTTGGGGTCGATAGAACTGTGTTGAAGGTATGGATGCATAATAACAAGAACACTTTCGGGAGAAGGGAGAGTCTTGGAGGTGAAAAAATCAATCTTGAAAGCAATGGCAACAATGGTGGTGGTGAAGAGGGGGAGGAGAATAATATTAATACTACTAATACTAATAATATTAATATTGAAAGTGAAAGTGTTGCACACGTTGTCGGAGTTGGCGGTGGAAGTGGAGGTGGTGGTGGTGGTGCCACGGCGAATGGGTCATCTTCTTCATCTTGAGCAATGTTTTGATGGGAAAATAAGTGTTAGAAAGATGATAGAGTAAGGACTTTGATTTTATTAATTAGCTGTTTATTATCCTTTTTTTTTTTTTTTTTCCTTCTTCTTTTAATTATTTTCTCTTCTCTTTTCTTTCTTTTTTTCCTTTCTCATTTTGTTCTTAGTTTAATTAAATGATGGTGATGATCAATCACTTGTCACTTCATTACTACTTTGTTGATTATGAGGATGGATATTAACATGGGAGAGCTTGTTCCAAAGGGAATCCCTTTTCTTTTCTTTTGCAAATTTTTTCCCCTCATTTATTGGCTTTAATTAATTAATTAATTGCCCTTTTTGTTTAATTAATTAATTCATTCTTCTTCTTCTTCTTCTTCTTCTTGTTGAAACACAGAGAGACATCTTTTGTCTGAGAGAAAAGGAGCAAAAAGTGTTGCTTGCATAGAAGAGTGTGGTTGCAGATTATTCTATTTTATCCCCATAGCTTTTATGCAATACTTTAGTGTTTGATTTATGGGAGATATATTTGAGAGATTTGATAGCTTTATTTTATTTGAAGCTGCATCATTTTATGATCATTGTTCCCCTGTCTTCTCCTCCTCCTCCTCATAAAGTCTAGATTATTATAATTAATTAAGCATTAAGATTTCCATGGTTAAAGCTAAACCAGTACTTGCTTCTAGTTCTAAATATAGAATCTTATTCATAGCTTTATTTTATTTTATTCTTCAAAAGTGCAAAAGAAAAGACCATTCTTCTCAATTAGGGTTATTACTCCTTTTGGGTGTTTTGGATAATGCATAATACTTAACTCCAAACCCTCAACTTTTAAGCTTCATGATTAAGGATAAGGGATATTATTCTAATCTAATCTAATCTTTTTAGTTTAATTAATTTAATATTATATTGGAGTCGTCTTTTCCTTTCTTTTTTATCTGTAACTTTCCTTTTAAGGGAAGCAGTTTCAGTTCACCATTAGTGCTAGTATTTTTATTATTATTTGTATAATAAAGATGCTGATGCTGATGACGATTGGAGTCCTTAAATGTTAAGTGTCTTGTTGCCTTCAACTTCCTTGATGTGGGTTTGTTTTGGTTTATGGTCATTGATGAAGTCAGTAATCTTGTTTCTGTGGGGTGTGGCCGTGGGTGCATGCATCATCTTCTGTGGCTCAACTGCCAAAGCATGGGCTATAGCTTGTCCCTCAGTCTTCCCTCAAGACCATCTTCTTCAATATTAATATAATAAATTCGCGATTTGATAGTTTATTCTTCCATATTATGAGACGATAGTCTCGGATATGTATTGATTATGTATAAATATGAATCGAATCCTGAAATATATATTCTATAAATTTGATTTGATGTGGGATTAAGCAAATGGTAGGTGTAATGTCACTTGGGTGGTGATTGGAATCTTTTTATAAGTTCTATTTCTAATTATATGATGTGCTTCCATCACCAATTCTTCATCTAATTTCAAGCTTTTGAGGAGATTATTGGGTTCTCATTTCACGTTTTGTGTAAGCATATACCAAAGTTTGATTAAACCCCTAAAACGATTCTCTAATGCTTTTGCTTTGCCCGTAATTTTCTCGCTTAATCATGTTTTAAATGGAGTTAACTTGAAGCAAGTCAAAAAATGGAGCCAAATTTTTTGAGAACTTTTTATATTTTTTACTGTGACTGAATGTGACCCTCAGAGAAGATGATTAGAAAGCTGAAAATTTTGAGAGATTGGTGGGTAATTTTTCTGGTTCACGTTACCCCTTTGATCAGAAGGTTATTAATGGCGTTTGCAGGCTTTTTTTTTTTTTTTTTGACTTTTTTGTAAGAGGGTATGGGCTATTCAGGGTCAAATACAGAAATAGGGAAATCCCCATTAGCATAGAGAGGGATTGATAATCTAATCTAGTCTAATCTAAAGCTTATATTATAAGGAGAAGATTGCTTTTGTGGATCAAATCTCTCTTTCTGGATTTTTGAGATCTCTCTCTCTCTCTCTCTCTCTCTCTTGGATGATTGAATGCTTTGTATACACTTATGAATATAGAGGTCACCAACTTACTTATTGCCTCCATGACCAATTCAGAAACTAATTATAACCTTGACATGTGATGTGCCTACTCAACTTGTAATATTTTTGCTTGGATCATTTTCTGATACTGTCCTTCCCCCATCTCCTACTAGTTTTTGCTGACACAATATTTCCGTATTATCTCTGGATGATAAAGTGGTTTAATATAAATTTTTTTGTGTATTATTTAAGAGGTCTCGAGTTTGAGTCCCTTCTTAATTACTAATAGAGATAGTCACAAGAACTCTTACCCGATTGATAGGTCCGTGCGTAAGCTGATTCGGATACCCATGGTCGTAAAAAAAAAAAAAGTCTCCATACTGAATATAATCTCTACTTTTATAGGGTTTTGTATTAAAAGGGTTAACATCTTATCGTGACCAAAGTAAGAGGGTCGAATCACCTCAAACCGCGTACAAAGGGTTGATAACTTATAAGAATAAGATTACATCTATGCTAACAGCCATATCTTATAAACTGGTGATAAGAACCTGATCAAGACAGGAAGAATTTCCAATCGGGTATTTCCTTTACATCCTTAAGATTATTAAACTTTTCAGTGTATGATTCAGAAACATTACTGTATCAATCAGTTTTGCTTTTTAAAGTTTATTATTATTCCTCATGAAAACTTAAATTGTAAGCCTTTGTGTGAGATGAATTATTATTATTATTATTTTTTATGGCAAAAGTTGGATGTAAATTTCTGGGTTTTTTTATTCTTGAAAATTGTATACAGGTCAAATAATCCTGCAGCTGAAAATAGGACCTGGTTCTTCAAAAGTACCTTTGTGCTTTTCCCAATCTTTTCAATACAACCAAGTCAATTGTATAAACAATTTAGGCCTGCCAATTGGGTGAAGAAATTCACAAGAACCCAATTAAAAAATCTTATCCCACAAAAATAAATGAGCAATTAGAGTGTGGATATTACATTATTCATGTGTCTACCATGTGGGTTTTTTTTTTTTTTTTTTTAATGCACATTTAAATTGTGTTTCAAAATATAGTTGCTTATTTGATAAACATGAGAATGATAAATTGTAGCACTAATTAGGCAACGTTTGAAAGAGATTGATGCATTGGGCTCAACCAATTTTAAAAGTTTGAATTGTATTGGATTTTCCTAAACTAGTTAATGGCCAAAATTAATTTTCATAAAGGTTTTGAGGGATTTTAAATAAGAGATATTCTTTTGTCTTTGTTGCCCTTCCACCAATACAAATCCCAATTGTGGTGTTTTTTAAAAATATTTTTTGAAAACACTTTCATCTTACATATATTGATTAGTTTCTTGAAATGGGTATTGCTATTTTTTTTTTTTTTTTTTTTTTTTGTTGTTTTTTTTTTTTTTTTTTTTTTTTAAAATTGGGGTGTTCGAGTAAGTTTACACACACAGGGGTATTGCTCTTTGTCCAATTTGCAAAAGAGTTTAAGAACATATGACAAGAAATTGTAGAACTTTAAATCCTATCTTGTGCTTGAACACCTTTCAAGAAAAGAAAAAGAAAAGAAGCTTATAAACAAACATTAAAAGGAACACAAAATTGCTATGTCAATAGAGGACCACAAAAAATTATTTCCAAGCATAAAGATTATTACGCTTTATAATGTGGTCCAAAAATATTCTCAAAACCATATCCCTAATTATCTCTTTATATTTGATACCATCATCTTCAATTTACTCTCGGCACCTACATATCTTTCTTTCACTTTCCTCTAAAAAAAAAAAAATGTAACCTAATACTTTGCTTCGTTAGAAGTTATTCCATTTTGGCCTGAGTTTACACACTCTAGAGACCAACAACTTGGTCCTATTAAGTTACCATATTGATAATTACTAGTAGATCCATCGATATTGCTATGATATAAACACTGGGATATCTTTATTGTTTTCCTTCAAAAAAATAAACTAATACTTTGCTTAAATAGAGTTTACACAATATAGCATTGACGACTAGGTATTGTTAAGTTACCAGATGAGTAGATCCATAGATGGTGTTATGATGTCGAGAAACGACCCATCTAGAGTGGGTAAAATTTTGAAATTTGAAAGGTAGAGAGGGTGAAAAGTGGAAAAGTTTGGAAGTTAAATAAGGTCATGTGAGTGATGTTAAATCAAGTCGTGGACATAACTTAATTTGCATGTGAGAACAAACAAGGAAAGAACCCATTTGTCTAACCCAAAATTGGAAACTATGTGAGCCTGTTAACCCCTCACTTCACATGTTATTTCATCCCAACTTTAATTTGGGTTGATGTGGAAGGCATCCCATGAGATGAATTGAATTGGGTTTTGTGAAACTTTTGTATGTGGTTAATACCCACCAACATATAGGTAAAATTAAAGGCTTCGTTTGGTTGGATTTTGGGAATACTACTTTTAGTATTCCCAAAAAAGTTAAACAGTAAAATACCAAAAAACTCACAATATTATTCAATTTTATTCAACATTTTTTAAACCCCCTAAATTTGTTAATTCAATTAAATATCCCTAAATATTTTTAATGTTTTTGTTACGGCGACTCCAGCCACCCTCCGGCGGTGGTGGCCGATTGTCCGTATTTGAGGGTGGATTGGGGGTGTTTTTGTTAACTTTTAATATTTTATTATAAAGGGTGTTTTGTAAAAAAACAAACATAGGGGGTATTTTATGAATTTGTAAATCCTACATCGTAATACCCACCCAATTCAACTTTTTTTTTAACTTTTTTCAAAAAACTTTTTCTAAAAACACAAAATTGTGAACCAAACGGAGCCAAAGAGATCCACAACCCATTTGTTACAAACCACAGGATCTAAGAGGATTTTATTTGCAAAATAAAATGTTAATTTAGGGAGAGAAAAAATATATTAAACGCTGGTTGCTGCCCAGGATCGAACTGGAGACCTTTAGTGTGTAAGACTAACGTGATAACCACTACACCACAGCAACTTGATGTTTATGTTGTATTTTAATCGCTATAAATTTTATGGGCCAAGAGATCCAATTTGGGAAAAATTACCTTGTTGGAAGGCCCATGGGCTTGCTTCTCAAATACACGATGGTCCATTGGGCCGATTTTAAGAGTAAGAACTTTTAAGGGCTAGGGCAAGAGGATGTACGTTTTGAATATTCCATTTTTTTTATTTTAAAATTGGTATAAAATTCATTTAATCCCTTTTATCATATTTTGGTTTGATGAATATTTACACACGAACATCAAATCAAAATACATATCCTTTCACATGATTGTCCCTTGGGATACGCTTAGAGATGCATTTAAAAAGAGAAAGAAAGAAAGGAAAAAGCCAAATAGTTTTAAATTATTATAATAAGAAAGAAATTAGAAAGGTTTATACTATATAGTGTTACCTCTGTTAATTAATCATGACGATCCTAGCTCAAATAAAAATTCATGAACCTATGATGATGTGATGGTGAATAAGAGAAGAAATATTACAAAGAAAAATAAGCATTTTAAATTTGATTGATATATTTTTTGTCATAATCGAGGTATCCGAGGTTTACTATGGGTCCACTTATAAGCCGAACCCATTTAGTCCTCGAGAGGGATCGTAGGACCCCACTACCACAATCTCTTGGTAATACGTCGATGCGCAGATGGGGATTTGATTGATATTTGATACTAAAAAAAATAAAAAAATGAAACAAAATTTCATCTTTGATTTTCATCCTAAATGCACTAAAACTATGAGTTCCCTAAGTTAAGGAACGAGATTATCTTAAACAAAATTATACTATTCCCAAGCCCTTCTTGAGACTAATGATAGATTATAATCTATCTTTTTCTTCTATCAAATTATTTTGTTATAACTTTTCTTAATATAAAGTATTGTCGTTCAAATTTGTGATACAAATTCTTAACTAAACGAAGCCATATTTCTTATAAGTCAAAGATTGATTTGAGTTTTCGATAAGTACTTCTATAAGATATATACTCACAACGAAACTTTTTTTCATTTATTCTAAAAAGATTTGGAAAAACCAAATATATATTGGAAATGAATGAGTATAGAAAAAATGACTTGAAAGAAATTAACAATATTTGCTTGTAAGCTAGTTATACACTGAAAATATATCAAAAATCACACGCTATATAGTTATATAGATGACTTGTATTATCGAACAACTCACTAATTAAACACTTATCCAAATCCAGTATCATGATATTATACAATCAGATTTTCTCTTGGACTTTGCAGGAATTCATATTCGTTTTGTGACATTTTTGGAATCGACATCTACCTGATTCAATGCAAATGTTTACCTGAAAATTTGTTCCCTCCATACTCAGTACCTAACTTGAACATTTTTGCCAAAACACTTCACATCGAAAATGGAAAATATCTCATGAATTCTCCATCATCATCAATACATTCGGTTTCAAGAAGATGATCCCAACAGGGAAAAAAAAAAAAAAAATCTAAGATATTTTGATTTGGAAACACGTATATTTCATGATCGATCTATTGCTATGTTTAGTCACCACACTATCTAATGATATTGATTCTTGATATTTATATAATTACATGCTTGTATTTATACGATTATAATATGGTATTTATACGTTGATGTTTACTTTGACATCGGTCGGAGTAAAGTTATTTGACTCTGACATGAATTTCCGTAATGTCTTTGTGGGAGGACACTTTTCCGGGGTATTAGGTATCATTTTAAATTGTGATGCACAATAAAGCAAAGGGAATTAAATTAAAGGGGGGATGGATAAAGGTAATTAGGAATTGTTGAAATTAGGGCTTTAATTAACATTTTCTTTTGTGGGTTTGATTTTGAAGTAATGAATTGCAATGTCTAAAAGTTATGGATTATAGTTTAAGCTTTAATTTCCTTTTAAGTACATCACTAAGAAAAATTTCCATCTTAACAACCAGCAAGATTAGATATGTGTGGGCCTGTAACCTCAAATGCAAAGTTTTATCTTACCATACAGATTAGACTCGACTACACCATTTTGGAAATTATTCCATAGATTTATGCGTTGAATATCTCTTTACTTTATTATTTATATTGCAAAATTTTGAAGGGTTAGGTGTACACCAATTACATCAACTACAATACAACTAGCCATTTTGCAATTTCAGTCCTCAAATTAGGATGCCTTCTTGCTTCTTCCCACTGAAATTCTCACTCTGGTAATCACTTTCATTAATCTAATTAATTAGTTTAGTTTAATGATTCTTTCACACTCGATATATGTATAATTTCATGAATATTTCGTATTGAAACTCAGTTCAATTAATAAGAAGATTACACTTAAACTAAGTAGGAAAGAAGTAATGGAAAATTGAAGAAGGAGAAGAGCTCATTAATCCATCAAGAACACAAATCAACACACTTTTTACTCTCGCTCTGTTGTACATAAAACACAGGAGGTTTAAGTCATGGCCATAAACCCTAGAAATCAACAAGAAGAGAGCAATTCTGAAACAACCGGATACGAGAACTGGAAGACATATAGATATACTTATATATCAAACTCAAACCCACATATGTTTTTGAAAATCAAACAAACAAAAGTGATCATCAAAACGTACACGACATAATTAAACCTCCATCAATTAATATCTGAAGCAGATTGAACCATTTTATGACATGGATGAACGCGGCGACGTGTTCCCGTTAACCACCTCCGTTTCCACTTCCCTGCGGTGGAAGCTCCGGTGGCAGCCACAGGCAGCACAAATGAGTGCAGCGTCGGTGCCTTCCTCCCCAGTGGCCATGAACTCACGGCACCCGTCCACCGCGTAGCCTCCAACTCCGGCAGCGTGATTCTTCTGGCACTCTGCATATCTCACAGTCCTGACTGTGAAAGATGAAGTTGTAGTTGAAGACTCCTCTCGCTTCAAAACCACTTGACGCTTCCTCATGTTGCTCCTCCCGGCTCTTCCTTCTGCAAACTCTTGTTGAATTACTGGAGAATTCGGGTGTTCGTTAACTGATCCAGTATCAGAAACTGGCATCAGAAAGAAGAAGAAAAGGGAGAGAAAGAGAGAGAGAGAGAGGGGATTTGAAAAGTTTATACAGTCAAGCCCTAACCCTAGAGTGCTTATTTATAGCATGTAAACCCTCTAATTGACTTTGATTAATGAGATTATCATCTATATTAATTAGCAGAAGTGATTAAGCACATTCCATTACCAACTTTTTACTGTATTATTATTATTATTAATAATAATAAAGATGGTCCAACTGCTAGAATATTGTGATTCCGAAGTGATGGTCCAACTGCCCTTAACAACCCTCATTAGTGTATAATAAAAAATAATTAGTGGCTTAAATGGGCAAAACCCTAAAAAGATGAGGACCCTTTTGCTTTCACCCAACAGAGTGATTGGTTTAAAATGGAATGACCAGCTAAGCAGCCTTTAATACACATTTAATCACTGTTTTAAACATTCTATATATATATTTGAAACACCCTTGACCTAAAAACGTGAGGGGGGTTTGATTTTTAAGCTAACCAAACTTGTACGGCAGAGCCACCATTTTTTCTGAGGTAAAGGATGCCTCGATCGATTGCCATCGTTGTTAGCTTATGAGATAACATGATTGGAAAAACATCGCATTCCCTCTTTTAACTTATGTTTGGTTAATTCAAAGTTTAAGGAAAATATATTTGGCTTTTTGTTTTCATAGTCATTGTCTATCAATCTCTCTTTTTAGATTTCATTAATTCCTTTATGATTTTTAATTTTAGTTTTCAGTAATTATATAGTTTCAATTTACTTAGCTTCTTCTTCTTCTTCTTCTTCTTTAACTATCTCTTTTAATTAAGGTCATTTACTGTACATAATTTAGATGAATATATCATATTATAACACGATGGGAGAAATAAATTATAAAAATTAAAAATGCTTTTGAAGTCAAACAGTGATAAGCGATTAAGCAAGTTTGATACTTGATCTTGTCTACTGCCTTAAAGAGGAAAATTCGTGTTGTTCAAACTAAGGATATAATGTATATATATAAATCATAAAGACTAAAATATCTGCAAAGTTTGATAGATAGTAGAGCTGGAAGGCAATGCATTTACACACATGTTATTTTCCCTTTGAGGTTCTTCACCAAACTTGAGTTTCAAAATGTTTGGTAAATTTTTTTTTTTTTTTTTCGATTCAATGCAAATGTTTACCTGAAAATTTGTTCCCTCCATACTCAGTACCTAACTTGAACATTTTTGCCAAAACACTTCACATCGAAAATGGAAAATATCTCATGAATTCTCCATCATCATCAATACATTCGGTTTCAAGAAGATGATCCCAACAGGGAAAAAAAAAAAAAAAAATCTAAGATATTTTGATTTGGAAACACGTATATTTCATGATCGATCTATTGCTATGTTTAGTCACCACACTATCTAATGATATTGATTCTTGATATTTATATAATTACATGCTTGTATTTATACGATTATAATATGGTATTTATACGTTGATGTTTACTTTGACATCGGTCGGAGTAAAGTTATTTGACTCTGACATGAATTTCACAGAATTTCTTTGTGGGAGGACACTTTTCCGGTGGTATTAGGTATCATATTTAAATTGTGATGCACAATAAAGCAAAGGGAATTAAATTAAAGGGGGGGATGGATAAAGGTAATTAGGAATTGTTGAAATTAGGGCTTTAATTAACATTTCTTTTTTGGGTTTGATTTTGAAGTAATGAGTTGCAATGTCTAAAAGTTATGGATTATAGTTTAAGCTTTAATTTCCTTTTAAGTACATCACTAAGAAAAATTTCCATCTTAACAACCAGCAAGATTAGATATGTGTGGGCCTGTAACCTCAAATGCAAAGTTATCTTACCATACAGATTAGACTCGACTACACCATTTTGGAAATTATTCCATAGATTTATGCGTTGAATATCTCTTTACTTTATTATTTATATTGCAAAATTTTGAAGGGTTAGGTGTACACCAATTACATCAACTACAATACAACTAGCCATTTTGCAATTTCGGTCCTCAGATTATGATGCCTTCTTGCTTCTTCCCACTGAAATTCTCACTCTGGTAATCACTTTCATTAATCTAATTAATTAGTTTAGTTTAATGATTCTTTCACACTCGATATATGTATAATTTCATGAATATTTCATATTGAAACTCAGTTCAATTAATAAGAAGATTACACTTAAACTAAGTAGGAAAGAAGTAATGGAAAATTGAAGAAGGAGAAGAGCTCATTAATCCATCAAGAACACAAATCAACACACTTTTTACTCTCGCTCTGTTGTACATAAAACACAGGAGGTTTAAGTCATGGCCATAAACCCTAGAAATCAACAAGAAGAGAGCAATTCTGAAACAAACGGATACGAGAACTGGAAGACATATAGATATACTTATATATCAAACTCAAACCCACATATGTTTTTGAAAATCAAACAAGCAAAAGTGATCATCAAAACGTACACGACATAATTAAACCTCCATCAATTAATATCTGAAGCAGATTGAACCATTTTATGACATGGATGAACGCGGCGACGTGTTCCCGTTAACCACCTCCGTTTCCACTTCCCTGCGGTGGAAGCTCCGGTGGCAGCCACAGGCAGCACAAATGAGTGCAGCGTCGGTGCCTTCCTCCCCAGTGGCCATGAACTCACGGCACCCGTCCACCGCGTAGCCTCCAACTCCGGCAGCGTGATTCTTCTGGCACTCTGCATATCTCACAGTCCTGACTGTGAAAGATGAAGTTGTAGTTGAAGACTCCTCTCGCTTCAAAACCACTTGACGCTTCCTCATGTTGCTCCTCCCAGCTCTTCCTTCTGCAAACTCTTGTTGAATTACTGGAGAATTCGGGTATTCGTTAACTGATCCAGTATCAGAAACTGGCATCAGAAAGAAGAAGAAAAGGGAGAGAAAGAGAGAGAGAGAGGGGATTTGAAAAGTTTATACAGTCAAGCCCTAACCCTAGAGTGCTTATTTATAGCATGTAAACCCTCTAATTGACTTTGATTAATGAGATTATCATCTATATTAATTAGCAGAAGTGATTAAGCACATTCCATTACCAACTTTTTACTGTATTATTATTATTAAAATAATAAAGATGGTCCAACTGCTAGAATATTGTGATTCCGAAGTGATGGTCCAACTGCCCTTAACAACCCTCATTAGTGTATAATAAAAAATAATTAGTGGCTTAAATGGGCAAAACCCTAAAAAGATGAGGACCCTTTTGCTTTCACCCAACAGAGTGATTGGTTTAAAATGGAATGACCAGCTAAGCAGCCTTTAATACACATTTAATCACTGTTTTAAACATTCTATATATATATTTGAAACACCCTTGACCTAAAAACGTGAGGGGGGTTTGATTTTTAAGCTAACCAAACTTGTACGGCAGAGCCACCATTTTTTTTGAGGTAAAGGATGCCTCGATCGATTGCCATCGTTGTTGGCTTATGAGATAACATGATTGGAAAAACATCGCATTCCCTCTTTTAACTTATGTTTGGTTAATTCAAAGTTTAAGGAAAATATATTTGGCTTTTTGTTTTCATAGTCATTGTCTATCAATCTCTCTTTCTAGATTTGATTAATTCCTTTATGATTTTTAATTTTAGTTTTCAGTAATTATATAGTTTCAATTTACTTAGCTTCTTCTTCTTCTTTAACTCTCTCTTTTAATTAAGGTCATTTACAGTACATAATTTAGATGAATATATCATATTATAACACGATGGGAGAAATAAATTATAAAAATTAAAAATGCCTTTGAAGTCAAACAGTGATAAGGGATTAAGCAAGTTTGATACTTGATCTTGTCTACTGCCTTAAAGAGGAAAATTCGTGTTGTTCAAACTAAGGATATAATGTATATATATAAATCATAAAGACTAAAATATCTGCAAAGTTTGATAGATAGTAGAGCTGGAAGGCAATGCATTTACACACATGTTATTTTCCCTTTGAGGTTCTTCACCAAACTTGAGTTTCAAAATGTTTGGTAAATTGTTTTTGTTTTTTTTTTTTTGTCTCTTCTCTCATGTGATCTTCCCCTAGATATTTTCTTAGACCCAAAAGGCCATGCCATTAATGTATTTCTTCAATTACTAGTAAATTCTATTTAGTGAATAAGTTTTTTTCTTTAATAACTAAGGTGCGAAGCATTTTATGCACACTTGACTAATCTTTAGGGAAAACTATCCCACAACACACCCACCGTCATGACTCCCAAATAAATCATAGACAATAAAACTACCTTTTGATAGTTTTATAATTCATCAAAAAAAAGAAAATGTTATTAATTTAGCCATCTAACCAACCATTCCATTTCGAAATAATTAATTCTCTTTTGTTTATTTTGTCGACAAAAAACTTTTACGATTTTGTTTTGGATAAACATTGTAACATTTATAATTATCTTCCATATATATAATTAAAGTTATAGTTAGGGTTTAATGATAAGAATGATCAAGATATACAGATTTTATAATTATATGGAAACATTGAATCAAATTCTGATTGATGTGAGATTTGCCATGCAACAATAAACCAAACACATGAGAGTAAAACCATATAATTAAGGTTTACTTTTTTTTTAGGTTTGTTTCTTCTAATTTTGTGTCACTTGTAGCTGGCATATTTGACCCAAAAAGATTTATATAATATGTACTAATTACTATTACAATTTTTATTTATTTATCTATTTATTACATTTTCTATCTCTAAGAACTGATTTTTGGGGCAAAAACTTTGGCTAAAATTCCTTTAACACTTTTAACTCAAAATGAATTTTGGTTTTGGTTAGGCCTAGTGCTGGTATTTGATGTTGATATAACTATATAAACATTTAATACCATCTTTGTCAATCTTTTTGTCCACTTTTGTTCATTTGCCACATATAATTGAACAATATTCAGTCAAGAATATGATTGAACATAATGTAATGATTAATTATAATTAGTGTTGTACGGTAAACTTGAAGTATGGGTTCGAGCTACATGCCATTCTTTTTAGGTTAACTTATTTTATAAATTTACCACTGTAACGAGATATAAACATACTTTTTACTCAAATTAGGGACCTCATTTCATTTATACTTTATAAGCAGTATTGGTCCACAACAAAAACAAAGAAAAAAATGCAAAAACAATGGACGTAGGATTTGCACTTAACATCCGAACTACTTTAACATTTTTTTTCTCTTTCTTATTGTTTAATTTATTGTTCATCCAACGATGCAGTATCGAAATCACGAGTTTTCTACAAACTTCTACATAGATTCCATCACGGATCCTACATACTTCTCGTTTGGGGCAAAACGCAATATCAACAATTAGAATAAAACCTGGAAAATTAAAGAGCATTGTTATTTTGACTATGAGAAGGATAGCCATTTAATTAATTAGCTTTTCTTGGGGATTAAATCATAGTCTAATTTGGGTAGTTAGAACTTGGTTGGTACAAAGCACCAATGAAGATTATATATAAAAGAGAAGAAGAAAGCAAAACTAATTATGTTTTGGATGCTAATTAACTCGTTAATCAATCAATTAATTAGGGTTTAATATGTCCAAATTCAAACATAAATGAGTACTCTCTATAAGGAGAAAAATATCAGAAATTAACTAACAGTGAAACCTCAAATCAAGTTGGTTAGGCTATCAACACTCGACCAATTATGAAATATTGAAATGTGAGTTGAGAAGACTCCATAATGAATCTCTCGATGTTTATACAGACGCGTGTATTGCAATATAAACACATATAATTAAAATAAGTATAATTATATATGTGCTTATGCGTGCATACGTGTGCGAGTGAGAGAATTTAAAAACCAAATTAAAAAAAAAAAAAAAAAAGGAAGAATTAATTGGTAGTAGGGTTAAGATTAGAGAGTTGATAAAGACTCAACAGTGGGAGGAGATAGTGAAAGATAGAGGGGCTTTTCTGCTTCTCAACAACCCAACCTCATTTCTGATAATCAACAGTAAAAAGCCTTGTGGTTTTGGCTTTTTGGGGTCACTTAACAAAGCATCTTAGGCTTCATTCTTCAGAAAAATTCGGATAGCAAATTTAATTATTCAAAAACATCAATAATAATACAGGATTTGATGGAAAGCTTTAACATAAATAAGGAAAGTTGGGTTTGATTGATTGCAACTTGTTCTTCAACTCCTTTTATCCTTTCAAAGTTTAATTATTTAAAGCAAACCTTTATTTAATTAATACTACAAAATGGACCCCCACAGAATATATAGGCACCAATAATTATTTATCATTTGATGTTACGTTTATTAATAGTTCATAATTCAAAAATAATTTTCAAAAACTATGAATAATCTCTCGATTAAATTACAAATTAAACATACCCTTTGGGTTCTTAATCTGTTTAGTTATAATATATTTGATAATTCAAAAATAAGTTTAAAAAACAATGATAAAATTCGACTTGTTTTCACTAAGCATACCCTTTGGATTGTTGTGAAAATTTATCTTTATGTCCCACCATTTCTATCTTTTTCTTATATTGAACCAACCAATTTCTGACGCACTTAAACTATCATTATTCTTAACAGTAAACGGGTTTTTCCCACCGAAGTTTTGGCTTAATAATACTTTTCCACCCCTAAAGTTTCAAATTATTACTTTCCCACCTAAAGTTTATATTCCATTAATATCCAAAGCCGATTTCAGCAGTGAAAATTCTCTCCGTCACTACCATTTGAACCTCCAATCTCTTCTCTACAAAACCCCTCTCACTCTGACACCTGATTTCTCATCGATTGCCGATCATTATAAATTTAGAGTTTCTTATTCTTAGCTGATTTGTGGCAGATTCCCTTAGCAAATACTCAATCGATCACTACCATTCGATCCACCGACCTTCATTATACTAAATCCCTTCTGCCTTGACTCCTAATAACTCACTTAAAGTCGGCTGAGAAAGTAAAATATATTTTGAGTTTTAGCGGAATATAAAGTTTGGGTGGGAATGTCGTATTTTGAAACTTTTAGGGTGGGAAAGTCATTAAGGAAAACCTTGGGTGGGAAAAAGTCGTTTACTCTATTCTTAATGGGTTCTTAATCAATTTGATTAATTCTGTGAGCAGGAATGGATTTTGATTTTTGAATTGACATCAAGGAAAGATTTTGCATAAGATACTCTTTACCACATTGGTGTTAAGTGTTACATCAAAATCAATTCAATTTTTGGCACTTTTATATTTGGCTTCTACTCCACTGTTGAAGTCATTGGAATCTATTTTTTACTTTTTGTTCTCATCCTCAAATTATAATTATGGTAGAAAATTGAATTTAAAGGTTTGGAATTCAAAGAGAGTGAGCTTGACCATATATATACCTTAGAATAATAATTTAAACTATACCATTAATTTTAGTATATGATCATTGAATTAAAAAGGTTTATAGCTCCTAGAAAACTTTAAATCGAAATCAGAATGGGAAATCTGTAAGTTAAAGTGAGGACTAAAGTGACAAGCATTATGAGGATGTTCCTGAGGATATGACTTAAATTAAATTAGCTTTCTAATTTTTGTTTAATCAATCAATCAAACAAGGGCAATGCTACGGTGCCGCCCGGCAAAGTTACCGGGCAGGTTTAATTTTTTTTTTTTTTTTTTTTTTAAAATAAGAAGAGAAGAGTTGAAAAAATGGGGTTCTCTCATAAAACGTAACAAATAAAAGTCTGATAATTATATGGAAGAAGGTTGAGGAATTTCTGGGTTTAAAGAAAATGATAATAATGGAATAAAATGCTTCTAATATAAATTAGAGGGAAAATCATGAATTTAACAAGTAGTCTAGAAATTGAATCATTGAAATGCTACATATAGTGAGATTGGTTCAGATTCTGAAACAAGTAGAAAAAATGAGAAACTACCTGGCATAACTGTAGCAGTTCGACAAGAAACAAGATCAAATACCTTCTTACGTTTAGGTACTTTGCGGTTCGGCAGCTTCGGCTGTTTTGACTTCTATTGGGCATTGAGATACATATGGTTTGAGCTGCAAACCGGAAGTACAATCTAATCAGCACTAGGCAAACACTTTCATCTATAAGGTGATCAGTCCATGCTAAAGTCCCAGTTCAAATCTTGTTTAGGAAACAACGGATCATGATCCTTATGACTGGATGGTCTATGAATGAGGATCATGATCCATAACTTTGTTCATTGTACACCAAAAAGTAATATTAATACTTGGATATATGATAATTGATAAGGGATGTAAAAAGGAAAAACCTACGAAAATTGGGGTATGTAATCCCCAAAAACGTCACATTAGCCAGAGTTCCAGAGTAATGCTTGGCTTTGCAAACTGCATCCTTTTTTATGCAGGTAGTTCTAAGGAATTATAGCGAAGGGAAAAATCTAGTGCTTCATTGGGATCAGAAATTAGAACCCTCCAATTTTGGTATTTGTGAAGAGTACCACCCAACTCAGATGTGAGGCAAACCTCAAATGTGACAGCCTCATGGCAGATTCTTACTTAAAATAACACAACCTCAAAAAAAAAAAAAGACCTCTAAGGCTGCACCTCTGAACATTTTACTAAATGGACCTTTGCACCAAGACATAAAGAACTACTGAGGGAGTTAACTATCTTTTCAGAAGCATTTCCCCACTCTAATATTAGTTAAATGGAATAAAATGCAATGGAAGAGACATATACATCTCAACCTCTAAAATAACGGAGAAAATCTCTATAAGGTTCTGAAAAATTTGCAGACTTGGTGAAGAGGGGAGAAAACTTTTTTAGTTTTTACCATTATAAAGTGTCGGGGGACTAAGATTTGTTCCTAACAAGTTCATCTCTTACTTGTAAAAGAATTTCAATCACCCTAACTATATTCTCCTAGGAACTTTATAATGAAATACCAACAATATCCACCAAGCATTGACACTATGACAAACACAAATCTACGTGCAACTAGAAAAAAGAAATTGAAAGAAAAGAAAAGCTAGGAAATTAGAACCTTAAAGTCGGTCAAATCAGGCACAACATATTTTGGCAATTTCTCTTGCACCACAACATATCCACCTGCAAACGATTGTTCAGTTACATTATGAACAGCAAAGTCAATATATGCGGAAAGCACGTAAAGATGTCACACCTTTTCATGCAATAATTCAGCTTTTACTTGATTAAGGTTAAATTAAAAGAAGTCAAAACAAAACATCTAGTCAATGTGATGCTTTTAACTATCTAAAAAGAAAAACGAAAAGGAAACTCTCCAGCTTGGCTTTGAAAAAGCAAAGGCCTTATGCACAAAACATGTGGAGTTCATATCATGTTGAAGAATGAGCTAGCAAATTATCAGGAAAATCCGGTACTTAGCCGCACTCTATAAAGTACTTCAAATGAATCACCTAACATAAAAAGCCCTAAACACTACACTGATCCTAAAGATCATCTTAATGTTAGTTTACAAACAAGTTTCTTTTATAATATTATTCAGCGAAGACTGAAGAACACACAATTTTTTAACTTTACAGGTAGAAATATAGTTTCTGGAAAGTTCAGGATCAAATACCATTACATTAAGAGTTGCAAATTACACCAAAACATGTTTAAGTAAAAGCTTGAAGTGAACTAAATTTCAATCTTATTTACAAGAGAAAGCACTTTGGAAACTAACATAGTTTAGGGAGAATCAACATATGTTTAAGCAAAAGCTTTTACAAGAACTGTTTTTTATCTTCCAAATACAAACACAATGGAAAATGTATTCAGTACTTTTTTTTAACAAAAACGTCTTAAATAAATTTTTTCACTGTTCTACTCATTTTCCAAAACACTACCAAACACATTGAATCATCATAAAAAAAACAAATGTAACTTATTGAAGCACTGGAAAAAGTGATCCATTTTCTTGTTTATACATACATGAACAAAACAAATTATCATCATTATTAAGAACTCAACAATGCCCTTCCCCTGAATCAGACAAAGAAACAAGTGATACACCTTGTCAAGTTCTACACTTTCATGTCTATAATGCAATTCATCCTCTTATTACAATGAAGAATCGAATCCAGAACGTTAAACCATAAACGAAAAAGCCGATTAAACCAACGATATTGATACCATTACACCACCTATCATTCAATAAGGAATTCTTCAATAACTCAAAAACACCAAATCCAATCGTTTTCATTACCCTTATCCGTTTTTCAAGAACAAATTCGAAACACCAATACCCTGATAACCTAATACACACTCTATCGGAACCACGTAATGTATATTTAAAAAACTAAACCATAAACCAATTTTCAAGGCAGCGACATTGCTAAACTATAAATTAAAAATCAATTAGAGAGCAAAATTGGACCTTTGCGAGTATGAAAACCAGTGGGCTTGCAGTTCTTTCCCTTGTAATAATCTCGTGGCGCGCGTTTCGATGACAAAATATCAAGTGATGAAGTTCGCTTTCTTCTCATTGCTCTTCCTAACCCTAATAAAAGCCCTAACGCCATTTTTTTCCCCCTCTTTTGAACAATTTACAAACCCTAAAAAAATCAAGAAAAAAACCTTATTAATTAATTTTCAACAATTTTACTCAAATTATTCAAAAATAATAATAATAACAATTAATTCAGTTCAAAAGAAAAAGAGTTCGAACCTGAAAGGCTGAAACGACCAAAACTAGTTCCCGCTCCTCGACTTCTTTTGGGAACGATGGAAGTGCTTTTTGGGGAAGGCGAATTTAATGTCCCCCCACCTTTTTTCATGCGATCAAAAAAACCCACATAGTTTGAAAAATATTCCTAGCTTACTGTTTAGCGATAATAAGAGTAAATAGTACGCGCTCTTTCATATCTGTTGCAAGAAGATTAGTCATAGTAAATTCGTTTTTATTGTTTTCACTTTTAGATAGAGTCGATGTTTGTGTATGTCTGTCAGTCTGTATGATAATATAATATGGGGTTGTTAGTAATAATTTAAAACTATAGGGTTTTTTTAGATCATTATTAGAGAAGGTGAGTAAAGTCGTGAACCTGAGAAGGGAATTGGGAAAGGGTCGTAGAGTCAGAAATTGGGCCGGGCCATTATTCTCCATTAGAAGCCTCAAAGTCACAGGCCCATTTGATGGCACCAAGGCCCAATTGGTCGTACAAACGCTACGTCTCACCAAGTCACAAAATCGTGTCAACTTTTAAAGAAAATTATAATTACTAGTTCATATAAAGATTTTACATGGGGGCTACTGATCAAATAAGAGCGGTTCAAAGGACGTTTCCTATTTAGTAATAGGTTTAAGTACNATAATAATCTCGTGGCGCGCGTTTCGATGACAAAATATCAAGTGATGAAGTTCGCTTTCTTCTCATTGCTCTTCCTAACCCTAATAAAAGCCCTAACGCCATTTTTTTCCCCCTCTTTTGAACAATTTACAAACCCTAAAAAAATCAAGAAAAAAACCTTATTAATTAATTTTCAACAATTTTACTCAAATTATTCAAAAATAATAATAATAACAATTAATTCAGTTCAAAAGAAAAAGAGTTCGAACCTGAAAGGCTGAAACGACCAAAACTAGTTCCCGCTCCTCGACTTCTTTTGGGAACGATGGAAGTGCTTTTTGGGGAAGGCGAATTTAATGTCCCCCCACCTTTTTTCATGCGATCAAAAAAACCCACATAGTTTGAAAAATATTCCTAGCTTACTGTTTAGCGATAATAAGAGTAAATAGTACGCGCTCTTTCATATCTGTTGCAAGAAGATTAGTCATAGTAAATTCGTTTTTATTGTTTTCACTTTTAGATAGAGTCGATGTTTGTGTATGTCTGTCAGTCTGTATGATAATATAATATGGGGTTGTTAGTAATAATTTAAAACTATAGGGTTTTTTTAGATCATTATTAGAGAAGGTGAGTAAAGTCGTGAACCTGAGAAGGGAATTGGGAAAGGGTCGTAGAGTCAGAAATTGGGCCGGGCCATTATTCTCCATTAGAAGCCTCAAAGTCACAGGCCCATTTGATGGCACCAAGGCCCAATTGGTCGTACAAACGCTACGTCTCACCAAGTCACAAAATCGTGTCAACTTTTAAAGAAAATTATAATTACTAGTTCATATAAAGATTTTACATGGGGGCTACTGATCAAATAAGAGCGGTTCAAAGGACGTTTCCTATTTAGTAATAGGTTTAAGTATGACGTTCGAGTCCTTTCATATTGGGTGGCCCGATAAAGGGAATTAGGAGAGGCCCATATGATTACAAAATGGGCCTGGGCCGTTATTCTTTCTTAGAAGGCTCATAGCCACAGGCCTAGTTGATGGCCCAAAAGGCCCAATTATTCTATAGTACAATTTTCATATTTATAATGTTTTTTATTGCAAAAATATTGATGACCTATTTTTTAAAATAAAAACGGTTTGTGTATTTTGTTTAACTTTTGATGACGCTTGCCTAATAAAATCAAACATTATATAATCAACAAAAGGACAAAAAAACGTTTTTAATTATCTAAGGAAGCTTCTCACCATATAAATTGATCCGTATATTGATATATTACATAAACTTGTATCTTATTTTAAATCAAAGGATTATGATTCATGTGTAAAACTATATATTATTTTATAATATGGGGAATGGAGAATGATTTCTACATAATGAAATACTGAAAGACATAAAATTTTGTAATCTTTTACTTAACTCTTCAGATTAGTAATCTATTCACATTTGAGAATTTTTCTTAGCTATGTATTCGATAATTTAAATTTATCATAAAATACCGTAATATGCTTGAATATACATACAATGGATAGTTAGCTATATTATATAGTTTGCATACACCATATTGATAATTAAGTCATTGAAGTATTGAGGCGAATTAGACAATATTGGAAAATTGAAAGCTGATTTTTGTTTTTCTTTTTGGTTATGATGATATAAAGAAATTTAATTGAAATTTTATCTTTTACTATCATTCTTTTAGTTAGAAATCTTCCGTATTTGAGAATTTTCATTATCATACATATAATTTAAATTATTTATTGGACTATAACCCTATAATATGTCTCAATATCCATAAACTAAATTATACTATGTATATACTTTGCATACATCCATATTGAAGTAAAGAAAATTGTTGAAAGCTGATTTTTGTTTTTGGTTGTGATGATACGAAAAAGATCAACATGTGGATTTCATGCCATTTCTGCAACGCCAGCTGCTTCACATGGAAATCCATCAATTCACCATGTAATTGCACTAATTGATGTCTGAGACACAGAGAGAAAATCCCATTTTAAAGCGTGGGATCTTGACTTTATTTTCTTTCTTTCGTGTGTTAGGTTTAAAATGTTTTCATGCTACAACAGCAGCACGCATATGTATTAAATGATATACTTTCTCTATTCAAACGTGGAAAGCAATGTCTTTTTGCCCTAACCCTATATGGTTTTCATTTATTTAATTATTCGTTCTTGTTTTGGTGCTGTATTTCATGGGCTACTTATGGTTTCATCATGTCATTTGCAGACTTCGAAATGGTCCACGACGATGATCGATGAACAGGTAAAACCATCAAAACTCTTCACATGTACGCATTTATTGTCACCCAATTTCTCTGCTCATTTCCAAACCATCCATTTTCTTTCTCACAGCCAGTAAAAATCTGAGAGAGAGTGACAGAGTTCTTGTGATCTTGTAACTAAAGTTCGTCCAATTCTTTCAAACCAATATGGTTCACTCATTCATCCTTCCCATCTTATAATAGCCGGAAAATATTCGATTTACATCTCTATAGACGCTAAAAGAACATCATAATACATGGATTTGTAGGCGTTGATTATCTAATTAGTCAATATAAGGAGTATCAGATGAAACTTTATTAGATGGATGTACGAATTGATGTACTGATATCTTGAAAACTACGACATGGAAGACTTTGGAAGAGACTTTCTCGACCATTTGGAATAATAACTTGTTATATACGTCTCTTCCAAGAATTATTTCTCATTCCAATGGGTTTCAATTTCTTTTTTCCTGAGGTATAGTATCAAAGGCAACCAAAACTTCCCCAAATTTAGCTGAGAATTTATTTCGCATTAACTTTATATTAATACAAGGCCTAGTGCATGTGAGTAAATAATGCTCCACCTCTCTACTTGATCAATTAACTTTCAATTATGCAATTAAAGCTGAATAGTGGTTGACTTTCTCCCTTCTAGGCATGCACATAGCTCATAACAAAGAACAAGTGTCAAACTTTAAGTCTTCATAACACCTATAATAAATAACTCATTCATTTCATCACATAATTTTGCTAGGAAAAAGTATGGCCACAACTCTCAATAATCCAAACTCATTCACATACTCACACAAAAAGGAAGAATCTCATATGAAATGGATATAGAATTTATTCATCAAAAACCATCGATTTTGATCACATAATATTGTGAAATTTACACTTTGTATCCTAGTGTTTAAGGGGTCACAGACGCTTCTGAATAATCAATTAAGGGCTACTATGAAATTAATTCTTTAATTTCAGTTCATCAACATCTAGTACAAGAGAACACAGAGATCAAAGAGTCTCTCAAAAAAGCCTCTAAAATTAACAAGATATAATCGATCATCCTCTTACTTCAGAAAATATCAGCACTCTCATCTAACTTAAGGTCACTTAAATAATCTTTCCCTTGAAGAATAGCGGTGCTTTGATCATCAAAAAGCCACTTCTCGAGCTGTGATAATTGCGGCATTTGATGAGCATTTAGATCTTGCTTGCTTTCATCTTGAAAAAAGCTAGACTCCGGAGATACAGATTGAGATAAATCAGAATTGGCTGAAGAATCAAAAGACTCAAAGCCACCACCGCCAAACAATGATTCAAAAGCCCCTAGTTTTCTTGGAGTCTCTTCACTTGAAGTTGATTCCCCGTTGTTAAACGATTGTTGAGTTGTGGCAGCCGAGTTTGTTGTTGTAGAAGCTGGTTTCGGAGAATTTCTGGCCCACCCTTTGAGCAGTCTGGCTATGTTGTCAGCACTTGAAGCATAAATTGTTGTTGTTGTCGTTGCATTATTGTTGTTATTATTTGCGTAAGAAATGAAGCCATTAGAGGGCTTCATTTCAGATTTAAAGGCTGGTTTTTCTGGTGATAGAGCCTCACATAGAGCTTGTCTTGCCATGTGGATATCAGTTTGAAGCCTTCTCTCCCACTGGCCTCTAGAAATGGAGTGTGAATGTGTTGAAGAAGGTGAAGAGAAGCCATCTTTAGAGTGAGCTTCAGCTTGGAGATTCTTGTTCTTCAGCTTCTTCTTCAAGTGGGTGTTCCAGTAGTTTTTGATGTCATTGTCAGTTCTCTGAGGAAGATAAGAAGCTATGGCAGCCCATCTGCACCATAATAAAATTCATTAATGCCTGCTTCCATTAAATTAACAATATTATTACAAATTAATTCTAAATAAATAAATAAATTTACCTGTTGCCTAAAAGAGCTTGAAGGTGGATAATCATCTTCTCTTCATGGTCTGTAAAATTACCACGTTTGATCCCTGGCCTCAGGTAATTAGTCCATCTAAGCCTGCAACTTTTGCTGCATCTAAGCAATCCTGAAATAATATGAACAAAACACAAGAAATAAAAAGATGTTACTCATCAAAAATGGAAACCATTAAATCATATATATAAATATTAAGCAGAGAAATTAATTAAATAAATAAAGAACTAACCTGTATTAGTAGGAACAGCCCTCCAGTTTCCAGGGCCATGCTCTTGAATATAAGACACTAAAATGATATCTTCTTCAGGAGTCCATGGCCCTTTCTTAACTCCAACTTTGTCACAGCACGGTGGCCTTCCCATATCAAATTAATTCTTTCTTTCTCCTTCTTCTTCTTCTTCTTTCTCTTGAAGTTGGAAAAAAGTTTATAATAATATTGATGTTGGGGAGCGAATTGAAGGGTCTAAGGCATGCAAGAGGGCATATATAGAAAAGATAAGAGAGTCCCAAAAGACGCTGACCTAAAAGGAGTAAATTAATTAAATTTAAAGGGAAAATTCATTATTTCATATAGTCAAAAGATGACAGCAAGTGCATTAAGTGATGGGTTACCCAAAGTCAGCTCAGCTGTCCTGTGGCAAATGCTATCTCACAAACAATTACAAAACCGCGTGGCATTGAATGAGGGTTTGCTCTCTGGGAAACCCTAATCTCAGCCTTTATTTCTCTAAATCCAATATGTCACCTCTCCATAGCTAACTCTACTTCTCTCGTCTCCCTATACCTAGTAAAAATAAAGCTTCCAATTCCAATTCCAAACCCACACACTTACACTTTCCCTCCTCTTTTCAACTTCTTCCTACTGCTACTGGAGTTATCGATTCATTTTTTCTCTTTTGAAGTACAAAATCTTTATTAATTCTTATCCTATCTTTTACCTTAAACTTCGTAATTGTTGTGTATGTATATATTGAGGTTCAACATAAGATGAATATCAAGAAAAATTATTTTCAAACCATACGTAAAGGATGAGTGATACTAATAATACAGTGCATGAAGGAAAATAATACAAACTACATTTAATATTCTTTTTTCTGATTTGGAATTTAATCTGAACAGATGATTATTACTGATAAAATAATCATAAAGGGATTGAGGCAATATAGGTTTATAAATTTACCTAACTTTTGCTTTATGCATGTGTGCCAGCTACTTGAAAAGAAGGGACGAAACAATTTCAATTTCTGAAGGATTATGATCATCAACCAAGAATACGATCGAATTAAACATCAAGTTTATGTATATTTTTTTTGAAAAAGGGTGTCGGATTTCAGCATCAATATTGCGCGCTTTAAAACCTGAGACCTTACGTGTTAACTACACATCCCAACGCTTGTCCTACCACTTGAGCTGCCAAGGTAGGTATTTATTTTCAACTCATTCATACTTATGAGCAATATGATGGATGGCACAACAATATCATAGATTTCTTGACTTATTATACCATGAAGTAATATTCCTGTAACTATCAAAATTAGAAGATGTGGGTTTTTTTTCTTTTTTCTATTTGTTATCTAACCAAATAAATGTAAATAGCGATGCCATGATGTATCTTTATTGGCGATTTTGGAAAGCTTATATATATGGTAAAGAATTATAGATAAATTCTTCACATAGCTAATGTCACGGAGTTGCTATATCATTATTTAAATAAACGAAAACATGCATGAATATTCCTTTAATGTCGGATGATAAAATAGGCAATTTAATTTATCTCAAACTTGATTAAGTTTCCCCATACGAAATGTGAACGTGAAAACTTATTCATTTCATGTTTCTTCGAAGTTGACATAATATGAAAATGGAAGCTTATGTTTTTCTTTTAATTATGAAATATAAGATTAGTATAGAAAATAGAGAGAGCAATGTCAATTATATAAGACCGATGAAAATATATTATACCCATCCATGGATAGCCCAGATGGTTAGGGCAAACAGAAGATAGTATAAATAAACACACAATCTCAAGTTCGATTCTCTATCTAGGTATCCCCAATTTGAGTTGGGGGCCGTAGTGGTGGGTTGTTGCACTAGTCTTTTCCGAGGATCCCAAGGATTAGTTGAGGGGGCCGTGGCGGTGGATTATTGCGCTAATCTCTCTTAAAGATTAGAATAAGTTGACCCGAACACCTTGGCTTTCCTTTTAGTACTTTCTTTGATCACATGCCAAATTAATCCAAATTTGCAATATTAGAGATAGAATATATGTAAAAAATTAATAATCCATATCGTCCAATCCTTACTCGTAAAGTTATTATTATCTCGAGATAATCAATTTAAAATTCAAATAGAAAAATTAAGACGTTGCTTGATACAATGAAAATAAATAGATTATGGATAAACACATGCAATAATGCTCTCTATTATGCAAAGGAGAAACATAATTAGAAAACTCATAATTAATACAAATTAACACTTAATAATATTTGAGGACAATGTAAGGGAGGGAAGGGCCACACAGAGAGAGACTGGAGAGACTTGATGTAGCCAAAACTTGGCCATCCTAATTAATTTGTTCGGACCCATCAGTACTTATCATCTTTACATATTTAATTAATACTGAAAATGATAGGTTAATGAGTTATTATAAAGCTTGGCTTTGCTATTAATTATAGAACCGGCTAATTAATGACCCTGCGGTCCCTTTAATTTGGAAGAAAAATATAACCTTCTTCTTTAGTAAAGGACACCATATTTATATAGAATAAAGTCGAGTTCAAACTTGTTAACTATGAAAAGATAAGGTTATCTCTATCAGGATCATTGGATTCTTATTGCGTCAATTTTAACATTACCTCTCGATATTATGAATTTACTCAAATGAAAATAGCATATCATATATGTATTTATTTAAAAGTCATCAATAAGAGACAAAGGAGCATAAATATAAGGGTATATTTGGTTCATTATTCTGATACTTTGTAGAATAATAATTTGAAAAAAGTAAAATTGGATGTTTATTCCGCTGTAGGATTTAGAAATTAACAAAAATATCCCCTATGTTTGTTTATTTATTAAACACCCTTGTAATAAAACATTAAAAATTAACAAAAATACACTCACCCACCCATTAAATACCGACAGCTAGCCACCACCGCCTGAGGGTGGTCGGAGTCGCCGTATCGACGCACGATTGGTTGGATCTGGCCGATCGTGCGCTGATATGGCATTTTCCGGCTAGATCCATGGTGGATTTGGCCGCATTTGATCGTCAATGATGGCCAAAGATATGGCTGTCATTGACGACTGGCTACGGTCAGAAAAGGCTAGATCGGTGCACTACCGACTAGATCCAGCCAGTAGTACGCCATTATACCAAATTCCGACCATCTTCTGATGGTGGTGGCCGAAATCTGGCAAATGTGGGTTGGTGGGGTGTTTTTGTCAATTTATAAAAAAAAAAATTGAAGGGTGTTAAGTTAAATTAACAAACCTAGGAGGTTTAAAAAGAATTGAATAAAATAGAATAATATTTTCAGAATAAGGAAATAAATGTGTATTTTGGATAGGATAGAGAATAGGGTTGGGAAAAATTGTATACCAAAGGGGTATAATTTTTGAGATAGTTCTGAATGAAACGAGAGTAAAATTTCATTATTATTATTATTTTTATATTATTTTCTTTCTTTTATATATTTAGTAGGTTCAGAGTGATACATAAATGTGAAGCTAATTATATTTGAAAGATATACAAATAATATAATGCTATAATCAGTTAAGAGCTCAGTTAAAAAATTACATTATCGTTGATAAATAGTCCACTATATTATGACTCTTTTTTCCTTTTTCTTTATATTTGTTTTATCAAAAACTTTAATATTTTAATAAAATTTTGTAAACTTAATCATCCATCACATCCAATATTGGAACACCGAATTCCTCAATCACTGATTTCGTAATGCAATTGCACACATCATTGATGGGTTAGATTGGATGAACGAAGATGNAGCGATGCCATGACGTATCTTTATTGGCGATTTTGGAAAGCTTATATATATGGTAAAGAATTATAGATAAATTCTTCACATAGCTAATGTCACGGAGTTGCTATATCATTATTTAAATAAACGAAAACATGCATGAATATTCCTTTAATGTCGGATGATAAAATAGGCAATTTAATTTATCTCAAACTTGATTAAGTTTCCCCATACGAAATGTGAACTTGAAAACTTATTCATTTCGTGTTTCTTCGAAGTTGACATAATATGAAAATGGAAGCTTATGTTTTTCTTTTAATTATGAAAGATAAGATTAGTATAGAAAATAGAGAGAGCAATGTCAATTATATAAGACCAATGAAAATATATTAGACCCATCTACGGGTAGCCCAGATGGTTAGGACGAATAAAAGATAGTATAAATAGACACACGGTCTCATATTCGATTCCTTATCTGAGTATCTCTAATTTAAGTGGAGGGCCGTGGTGGTGGATTGTTACACTAGTCTCTCCTGAGGATCCCAAGGATTAGTTAAGGGGGTCGTGGCGGTGGGTTACTATGTTAGTCTCTCTCGAGGATTAGCGTAAGCTGGCCGGACACCTTAGTTTTCCTTTTAGTACTTCCTTTGATCACATGGGAAATTAATCCAAATTTGCAATAATAGAGATAGAATATATGTAAAATATTAATAATCCATATCGTCCAATCCTTACTCTTAAAGTTATTATTATTTTTTATTATTATTATCTCGAGATAATCAATTTAAAATTCAAATAGAAAAATTAAGACGTTGCTTGATACGATGAAAATAAATAGATTATAGATAAACAGATGCAATAATGCCCTCTATTATGCAAAGGAGAAACATAATTAGAAAACTCATAATTAATACTTAATCATATTTGAGGATAATGTAAGGGAGGGAAGGGCCACACAGAGAGAGACTGAAGAGACTTTGATGTAGCCAGAACTTGGCTATCCTAATTAATTGGTTCGGACCCATCAGTACTTATCATCTTTACATATTTAATTAATACCGAAAATGATAGGTTAATGAGTCATTATAAAGCTTGGCTTTGCTATTGATTATAGAACCGGCTAATTAATGACCCTGCGGTCCCTTTAATTTGGAAGAAAAATATAACCTTCTTCTTTAGTATAGTACACCGTATTTATATAGAATTAAGTGGAGTTCAAACTTTTTAACTATGAAAAGATAAGGTTATCTCTATCAGGATCATTGGATTCTTATTGCGTCCATTTTAACATTACCTCTCGATATTATGAATTTACTCAAATGAAAATATCATATCATATATGTATTTATTTAAAAAGTCATCAATCACATCCAATATTGGAACACCGAATTCCAAAATTACTGATTTCGTAATGCAATTGCATTCATTGATGGGTTAGATTGGATGAACGAAGATGACACTTTGCTACGAATTTAACGGTAATTAGAAAAAG